CTCAAATGTAGCTAAGCAATCAAAATCAAAATCAAAAGGTATATCATTTTCAAGAAAATGATATGGCGGTTTGGTAAAGTTTGAATTTTTTTTTATGGAACGCCTATAAGATCTGACATGACCTAAGAAACTCCAAACTTACTTAATAGAAGTAGGAGGTGTCTAATTCTCAATAACTTAGATCTTTGCCTTATCAATCTCTATACCCTTCTCAGAGATTTAGTGTCTAACAAAATTGCTTTCATTTACAATGAATTGACATTTCTCCCAATTAAGCACAAGGTTAGTTTCCTCATATATTTTTAAAATTAATTCTAAATGATCTAAGCAAATATTGAACGTTGTTCCAAAGACTGAAAAAATCATCCATGAAAATCTTAATACCATGTTCTATTAATTCAAAAAATATCGACATCATACATCTTTGAAATATTGTAGGGGCATTGCTTAAGCCAAAAGGTGTACGCCTAAATGAAAAGGTTTCATAAGGACCAGTGAAAGTTATCTTATCCTAATCTTATGGGGCAATGTGAATTAGTTATCTTATCCTATTATATATGTTATTGATTTATCTTTTGACATATTAATTAGTTTAATTTTAGAGTTAAGGATTTTTTTTATTATTTAAAATGGTCAACCAGCCTCAAAGTGACGTCGCTAATCCTTTGGTAAGAGATATTTCTAACAATTGTAGCTATAGGTTTTCCCCCCTCTTATAGGAATTAAAAAAATTCTCAAGCCTCTTTGTAAGAATTGGCCAAATTAGGGCACCCCTTAGCCTAGTTTTGTTCTCCTTCTTCTACCATATTCTAACTTATTTGATCTTCACAAAATCTCTAGATTTAATCTTCACAGACTCCTCTAACACTTCTTGGTTCTCAAGCCCACAAAGATTATTAAAATCATCCCTCAATCTCATATTTCAAGATAGCCAAAATAATTCTAAATTAGGCACCTTGGCCTAGCCACCATTACATGGTCTTAAATTTCTTGGATCTCCACCAAAAATTTTAAGTCACATCCACTTACATTCACTCATCATTTATAAGAAGATTTGTGCGTAATAAGACAAGGCTTGAGAAAAAGAACATCTTTAGCATGTACATATTATTAGAACTTCTAGGTTATTCATAGATGAGGGAATCATGATGAATATTATTTCAATAGACACCATCATTATAACTAATTTGAAATTCAAACCTCTCCTAGAATCTTTTCATATTAGTTGGGTCAATCATGCCCCTTTTGTTGAGTACACATATTTGCAATTATCAAGATGATCACTATCAATATAATGAGTATTTGCCACTTAGATATGTATATAGAGGCAAAATGTTAAGTGGGTATGCCATCAAATTGTTAAACACCGAAGGTTATATGTCTTAGTATTCTGAAGATGTTCTTTGACTCAAAATTTATTGGTTTTTGTGGTTGTGATAATCTCATGTTAAGATATATGTAAATTATCAAATTCATTTACATTCCTTTGTAACAAAGTTTTTTTTTGTACCATCTCTACTGCTTTCCAATGGTTCTTTTGGTGTTTTTAAAACTTTCTAAGGTATCAAAATATCTTCCCAATTCTCTTAAAAGTTAAAACAACTATAATGATTTCCTTAATTGGATTATTATTTTAAACGAAAAACAAAAGACAAAATCCTACGGAACAATTTTCATCCTAGAACTCATCACTGTAGATCATCCAAATCTCTCAGGAAAATTTGTAGAAGAAGAGTTCATAAAGAGCGTTTTGGCCCTCGTGCATCTTCTACCACTACTATCACGTTACAGCTGAACAACTTTTTGAGACCAGCTTTTGTTTGTAATTGGCATCCATTCAAAGTCATAGTACACATTGCAAAATCTTTTGTCAGCTAAAAGTTCCCAATAACTATCTTCTTCACCTCAGCAAAAATCTTTGATTTTTCTTCCGGGGTTGCAACTATTCTATAATAGCTAACTTACTTTCCTTGTCTATTAAGAGATACTGGTTGTTAAGCAAGCAAAAACCTTCATGTTTAAAATAGTTCTTAGAGTTCTCTCTTAATTCAAAATATTATCTCTTAGTTTTGTTGGTTCCAAATTTGTATGTTGGCAACATCCAACCCTACTGAAGGTCATAGTGGGTTTAAGCTAGAGACCTAAGTGAGGAAATGAGTATGTATGGAGAGTAAGAAGTTCTAGTACATCTATGAATAATTCAAACAACACAGCATAAAGTCCAAAATATGCAACATAATGGTTCATGGTAAAAGGATTACCTCACTAGAATTATTCTCAAGACATTGACGTGAATGATCCTTCGAGGTTGTAGCAAAGGTTGCCCCCCAACAAAGAGAAGTTTCCAGTAGATGGGACCAAACTATTACATGCTAAAAAAATTGAGCTAGTAAAGTATGTGTTTATGTTTTAGTGTTATACAAAAAATTTGTAAGCACAGATAAAAATAATAAGACAAAAAAAAAATTTATGTGAAAACTTGGAAAGAAAAATAAAATAATTGGGCCTAGCCCAATTGAAAATTCCACTATAGAATAGGTGATAGAAGAATCCTTCCTTCCTCACAGGACAAATAAGAGGAGATTATTTGAAAATATATGCCTGGTCTTTTTTAAGGGGGATTACAGAAATCAAATGTACATAGATAGACAGTTAGCACCTAATAACATGGCTTGATTTCTTTTATAGGGATTATAGAATATTATGTCCACAAGAGGTCAATTGAAGCCCAACTATAGGGTTAAATATTGATAAGATTATGAAAATAGAGGCAATTATTGTCGGTGATCGCTGACGATGACGGTGGTGGTCGTCATTGATAATTGAAAATTTAAGAGAGCTAACTAGTTCTCTCCTTTTTTTTTTCCTTTTCATCATGTGGAAAATGGGCTCTATTTATAAGTTTTTGGTTGGATATTTTGGTAATTTGAACAAGAATCCAAAACATTCTGTCGTGCGGTTTATATCAATTCTCTTGATCATGAAGCATTTTTGTGTGCATTTAAGTGTATTAATGTTGTCCGAATTGAGTGATCATAAGCTTGTTGGATTCATCTTGTCGATCCTCTCAATTCAATTATAAGCATATCAAATTTGGATTTCATGATTTTAGTTTCAAAACATTTCATTTCAAATATTGCCTTGAGATTCATGTATATCATATGAATTTTTTTAGAGTCATATCAATAATTATTTGAACTATTTATTGAATGAAGTGAGGCAATTTTTCCTATCATGAATTATTCATTGTACATGATGTTAAGATATTATATTTCAACAAGTAATAATTATCTAAAAAATTAATTTGTTTTTATTTTTAATAAAGTTCAAATTATAGGAAGTTCGCTATAAAAAATTTCCATGGGCTTTGTGCTAAAGCAGCTCGGGCCTTATAAGTCCATTGTTCTCTTCTTTGCAATTTGGTCAAATAATGTGAAAGGTAGTGGGGCCCATCCTCCCTTTATAACGTCTATTCTAACAATTTATCTTCTTCCTCGCATTGCTATCATCGAAGTAAAATTTCACACTTTTAAATATAGCTATACAAAATAATATTGATTGGACCATTAAAAAAATTATTTTTATTATCATTATTTATTTAGAATTAATCAAGTAAAAGCATAAAAAAATGACCTAAGACTCAACCTTCAAAAATATAGGTTCAAATTAACCCGCTTAATATACAGGTTGAATTTGGGTATGAAATTTCAACCCAATTAATCCTTGCCGTAAAAGTGATCGTTTAAGTTTTCAACAGGTTAAATAATAAGCTGTCAACAGATTTGCGGATTCAGATTGATTGGTTGATTCATTTTGAGCTGAAGTTAAACCCAACTTATTATCCATTTTGACCTTCATAAATCAAGCAGACTATGCTCCATTTTGACCTTCATAAATCAAGCAGACTATGATGGCCCAACGAGGTGAAATTATTCTGTGCAGTCACGGACTCAATCTATAAGCAAATCAGGATGTGCCAAATCTTTTTTAAATTGTGTATCCGTGCTGTGTATTATTGTGTATCAGATGATTTGATTCATTCTGATTTATCTCCAAATTATCTAATGACCGCATGAATAATCTCTCCCTAAAAAGAACATGAAACAAAGAAATAAGAACCGAGCCGAACTGATCAATATTCTCTATACTAGGGGTGTCAACTTCGGGTTGCGAGTCGGGTTTGGGTCGAACCCGGAACTAGCCCGACAGTATTCGGGTCATCAAGAACACAAACCGTTTTTACAAACGGGTCGGTTTTTTCGGACCCGAACCCGACCCGCTTCAGGTTCGGGTCAACCCGACCCGACACAGATTTAGGGATTTTCTTATTTTGCGAGATGCCGAAACGAACTCACGTCGCTACTTCCGATAGGGAGCTCCGGAGCTGCCAAGCTCCCGTCACTATTTTTTCTTTCGATAGGGAGATGACCGGACGACGAGGCAAGGATTGACGAGCCGACGGTTGACGGACGTGCATGGCTGGCCTGGGCTGCCTGGCGAACGCCGAACGCCGGACGCGATCAAGAATGCAGCGATCAAGTAACTGACGGGCGCTACGACAGAGTGACGCAAGGCATCGACTGGAAATAGCAATTGATATGAGGAAGTGACTGTCAGACACGATTGACTACCTGACGCGACGGAAGGGACAAAAAAGTTGGAACAACTGATCCGGGTCAAAACAGGTCGATTTCGGATTTTTGGGTCAACCCAGACACGACCTATTTTTTCAAATCGGTTGAAATCTTCAACCCAAACCCGAAAATACTGAACCCGAAATTTTCGTATCGGATTCGAATTGTGTGAAATATTGACTCTACTCTATAGGAAACAGTCGGCGGGCTTCCGCGGGGCCCAAGGTGTTTCTGCTACATAGAAGGCTTTGTAGAAACAAAGCGTTTCTTGGCTTCTACGTAATTACCGAGAACGGAGGCACTTTTATTTTTATTTTTATTTTTGGGTAAAAGAGCACTTTTATTTTTATAATATCGGAAATCGAAAATATAACAAGAACCCTCGCCCGTTCTCACTTTTCATTCCATCCATCGCTCTCCCTCTCTCTTCATTGCTCGCGCACAAAATTCTTTCCCAACAATGAAACCCTAAGCTTTGAATTCGGCTAGGATCTCCTCGTAAATCCTTCTTTTTTCGGGAACCAAGAGCCGGAGTTGAAACCTCCATCTTTATTTGTACAGAGGGACCTCCTCGAGACCAAGACCCGTGCCTAGAAGCCGTTTCTCCACTAACCTGGTCCGTTTCTCTCTCTCTCTCTCTCTCTCTCTCTCTTTCCTCCCCTTTATCTGCTTTATTACTCGAATGGTTCTGCGACTTGTTAATTTGATTAGGAGTCGGGTGAGTGATTCGGCTTCCAAATGTCATTTCTCCGTCGAATCTCAATCTGTTGGGGATTTTTAGCCCCCATGCCTTTTTGTTATTGCTTTCTCTTTTGAAGGGCTTTGATTATGTGTACTGAATGTTTGGTTAAAAGTTAGATTTTGCTTTGGTTTGACTCGTTTATCTTTCTACGTATTTCAATGTGTTACGGCCTGATCGCGATGCGTATTATGATTTTCTTCATTGAAAATTATTTTATTGACTTGTTATTCTTCAGGGCTTAAAGTCTGGAAGTTTATCAACTTGCTGTTTGTTCCACCTAATTTTTTTTAGCTGCATCATAAGTTTTAGAGTGGTTGATTACTTTGATTCATCATCATCATATCTATATTCTTGTAAGATTATTATTTTTTTGTTTTTTTAAATATCGATCATTCTAGTTTCGATCCATTGGTAGGAATTTGATTCGTGTTTTTTCCCTGTTGGGGTTATAAGGCTCTAATAATACTCACAGAAGGTTTTTACCCTTATGCTTCATCTTTTTCCTTGTGTCTGGAATATGAGGGCTTTGCCTCTTCTAGAGTCTGTTATAGTTGACTAGTTGAGATTGTTGTAGCACTGATAAGTTGTTTTTGTTCTAGTGATTAGCATGCTTTGCTCATTGTCTTAACAAGCAAGGAGGGACTTAATTGATAGTGAAATCCGTTAAAGATGGTTTTGAACGTTGATCTGAATGACCGTCCTGCTGAAAGCTGGCAGTTTGAGGATGATGTTGCTCCTATTGATCTGCAGCATGAGCAGATAACTATTATGGGAACTCCTGGATCCTTTCTTTCACCAATTGATGCAGATGCCATACCTGATGATGATGTCATTTTGCTACCTTCCTCTGCGTGGGTTTCTCCGGTAGGTTTCAACCTTGATCCATGCTCATTTCCTACAGCCTGTTTTTCCAATGATCCAGTAATTTGCTAGGTATGTTGATTCATTTGTCACATATATGTTGTTACATGATACATAAAGTACATCCTCAACCCGAAATAAGTTTTCTTTATATTTATCCTTTTATATGTTACTTGTCAGTCTTGCTGTATATTCATTATTTTTTTTGGGGAATATCTTTAGGCCAAAAGCCAGTCAAGGAGGAAACGGCCAGTTACAGTTGTTATTGATGAGGGCATGGAAACAAATACTTGGCAATCAGGTTGGTCTTCTTATGGCTAGTGTGTGCCCCATATATATGTAATCTGTTTGAGTATTTTCTGCTCTTTGATGCTTAATGAAATACTTAAGGTGCTTATGTTATTCCAACATGTTTCTATTAGCTATCATAAACTATAACCATTGTGTGCATCAGTAGTAGCTGTTTTCTTTTAGTTTTGAACATCAGATAATGAATAGTACTATTGGATGAATCACAAAAGTATTTTTTGTTCTCTTTTAATTTCTAATAAAAAGGAATTTTTGTGATGTGAATACCAGATGATGTTGAAGCTGTCAAATTATATTTAATAATTATGTGTTATCATGGCCACTTGATGATTTAACCTATTATTATTTTGATTGAATCATTATGGCAGTTGTAATATTGATTGAATGAATATTTTAAAACTTAGCTGAAGAAGATTATTGTGATTGCCAAGTATTTCTTACTGCATATTTTTGCTGCCTCATTGTTTCATACAACACAATCTGTAGTGTGTGTTCATTTTTTTTAATTGTAAAAAATCTATGGTTTCCTTCTATCACTTAATGCTCTAAAGATACATTTTATGGATCCCAGCTGCCTATATTGTCTATTTAATCATGCATGGTTGTCTAATAGAGCTAGTAGTTATTCTTAGTAAGATAAGTTTGATGCAATCAAGGTGCTGTGTGTGCTATTTGGAATTCCTAATAAGGTGTTTGGAATTCACTAGGTGATGCGTGTGATATAATATATATATGTTTGTCTATGTTTATGATAAGAGAGACTTTTATGTTGCAATTTTAATGTAATTTTTTTGGTTGTACCAATTTGGTATTAGAGCCTAGGTCATGTAAGTTTTCCTTTAAAAAAAGTCAAAAACAAAAAAATGGATAATCTAATCAATCAAAAAAACAAAGTTTCAAGTCATGATGCAAAGGAGTCCCAAGATTAATTTGATCATGCAAATTTTAAAAGTCAACATTCTTTGCCATCTATTACGGATGAGAAAATTCCAACAACTAGATGAGTTTCGTCATAAGGATGTTTTACTGATCCACTTCAGAATGAGCATTACAAAATAAGAGAAAGCATTTTTGTGCTGAATGATATAAAAATAGGAAGCTTCAACTTTTGTCTCTGAATTTGAGCAAGAAAAGGAGATCATCCGAAGAAAGTACGACACGATAATTCAGGAAATGGAAATGCCGCATCTTCAAAATTTTGAGATGATCTCATCAGGAGATGAGAATTCTCCATGATGGGAGAATTGATGCAATCAAGGTGTTGTGTGTGCTGTTTGGAATTCCTTAAATGCTATTTAGAATTCCCTACCGTGTATGCTGTTTGGAATTTCCAAACAATTGTTTGAACTTCTCTAAGCTGATTTTCAATTTTTGTGTTCATTGGTTGTTTTGTTTTCCCCTTGGCAGTTATCCTTTTGGTTTGGGCTGTTGTCCCTTCGGTTTCTGTGCCCATTGGCCTCTGTTTTGATGCTTTGTTTTCCCCTTGGCTATTGTCCCCTCAGTTCCTATTTGCTACAGATTTCGAGGAGTTTCTAGTGGCAGTTTGGGTGGTGCTTTAACTCCATGTATTAATTATTTTTTCCTTTTTTTTCTCCCCTATAAATGAGGCTGTTTTGTGACAGTTTTATGAAGATAGGTGATGATTTTTGGAATGTAAAACCTGGTGGTTTGTTTTAGCTTGCAAGCTAGCCTCCTTTCCCCTTCCCCTCTACTATTTCGTCTCGGTTTCTTACCTCTTCTTCTCTATCCACGGTTCCCACCTCATCTATATCTTTCTTCTCTATATTAATTTAAGTTGTAAGGTGTTGTGTTCTAGTATTGTTATATTATATATGTGTTAGTCTATATTTATGTTAAGGAAGACTTTTAGTTTGCAATTTTAATGTAATTTTTTTGGTTGCACCAAGATTTTGTGGGAATGCAGTTGCTGAGAAAGGGATCTCCTTTAATGTTTGTATTGAGCGTGAATACACTTGACATTTGTCCAACACATGCATGCGCATGCGACATTCTCATTGACCAATATTATCATTTTTTCCTTTCTCAACCACATGAACAAGCTCCGATCAATATAACTTGACCTGTGCTCACATTGACATTGAGATCTTACTCTGAAGTGAAGTCATCGCAGTCATCATTTCTATCATTTTTTTATATTCTAGAAATCTGGTCATTTTTTATTTTAAGTGAGTCACAGTCATCGCATCCGGTTCGGTGGAGCACCCTTTCTCAATAGCAACATTTTGAACACCAATGACCCACTATCGGTCCCTCTATAAGGATTCTCATGTCGACCAAAAATATATCTGCTAATACATCCTCTAAGAGATCATCGCACTCAAGATCCAACTTAGTTGCTACTTTTTCATTGATCTTCTTTAGACCAGCTTTTAGTTCATTGATCATTTATTTGATTATCTTTTTAAAAGTATAACGAGGATCTACTAGTACATATTCCTCATAATTACTCATTGACCAATATTATTTTTTTCTTTCTCAACCACATGAACAAGTTCCGATCAATCTAACTCGACCCGTGCTCGTCGTGGCATTGAGACCTTACACTGAAGTGAAGTCATAGCAGTCTTCATTTCTTTCATTTTTTCTATATTCTAGAAATCTGTTCACTTTTTATTTTAAGTGATGTCACAGTCAAGCACCATTCTCAACAGCAACATCCTGAACACTAATGACCCACTATTGGCCCCCTCTATAAGGATTCTCTTGTGTCGACCATAAATATATATGCTAATACATCATCTAAGAGAACATCCCACTCAAGATCAAACTTAGTTGCTACTTTTTCATTGATCTTCTTTAGACCAACATTTAGTTTATCCGTCATTTCTTTGGTTATCTTTTTAAAAATATAATGAGGATCTACTAGTGCATATTCCTCATAATTATTCATCTCTGTGTTCTCTCCTTTTGCATGCTACTTAACAATAGTGGCTTTTGTAACAGGAATGTCTACCATCTTGAGTTTATTCACGATATCTTCCTACTTAATGAAGACAAAGATTGAATTGGGGACCTCAACTTAAGAACATTAGAAAAAAAAAGGTTTATTGTAATCCACAATGTGGATTCTACAAGTAATTCTTAGAGTTCTTTGATTGCAGGAGTGTCTTCTAAACTTTGATGAAACATCGGATGCTAAAGTGTGGGTAGGATAAGTAGCCCTCTGAATCACTTGGGACACAGAATTCAAGCCTAAGGCTTTCGTGGTACTTATTTTAGTCTGTCACCAACTAAGAAAATATTGCCTAAGTGAGCAAAAGACATCCTAGGGACTATAGTATCCGCCAGTCAATGCCGAGGTTTGCCAATTTTTTATTAAATTTTCTTCTGACCACCCATGGGGTTGATTAAACCACTACACAAGTATCAACTCGTCCCATTTTGGATTTATCTTCAACCCTCTTACAAATCATTCCTTTTATACTTCTTACATAGTCTACTTTAGATTGTCTATACACTTCTAATTAATCCCTCGGAGTAAATCATTAAACTTCTTTTTCTTCTCTTCCTTAGTCTCTTGTAGTTTGTAGTGAAATGGTCGTGGTTGTGAGTGGACTATAACTTGAAAAATATTTTCTTCTTGAGTAGCAGAGAGAAGCTGAATCATGTCACCACCTCTTGATTTCATTTTTGAATGAGGTTGACAAAATATTTATGTGCTTAGCCTTAGCTCGGAGGATCCTTTCTTTATCATAGATCCTTCTTATAGGACCCCTTTAAAAGGATTCCTAATGATATAGCATTGGCTAGCCATAGAAAACCTAATACTTTAGGGTACCACATACCTTTTATCGGACTCTTGAGATCCATAGATTAAATCAACTCGAGCTCAGCTTGGTGGTGCCAAGGACCTTAGGAGTTCATTAGGAACATTGTTAATCTTTTAAGAGCCTGTTTGTAAGTGGCTGAAGCCAAGTCAAAAACCAAAAATCCAAAGAAAACCCTTGGTTGGCTTTGTGAGTTTAATTGGGTTATCCATGGCCCAGTTAACTTTAAATTGTTCAGAAGCTGCTCAAGGACCTTAGGAAACTAATGATGACCCATAAATAGGTTGTGGACCGTACTAGGTCAAATCTAAAATCTTAAGAAATCTAAAACAACCACTCTAGCCTACGCACACGCACATATACATGCATGCCTATATATGTACATGAATCTATTGAAATTTTTGTCATAACTAACCCCAACATTGTCGAGACACCTCAAAACAACATACCTACATACACACACACATATATATACACACACACATGAATATATTGAAATTATTGTCCTAACAAACCCCAGCATTGTCGAGACACCTCAACACAGCCCATATACACAATATTATTGAAGTATATTTTCTTATGAGCTAGTATGGAAAGCTATTTTTAATTGATGATGAAGTTTCTTTTGAAGAAGACATTACAGTTAGTGGTAATGAAGATTGCGATGCTATGTATGCTTTTAAGTCAATTAGGGTTACAACAAAGTTTTTTTTGGGCATTTTGAAGTTTTTATGGGGACAGCTTGTTTTGAGATATTATTAGAATATTGCATGTATAATACATGAGTTTAGAATATTTAAGTGTTAGTTATGAATATAAATCAAAAGTATCACTTTTAAGTGCTAAGGAATTTAGAATACCTCAAAAAATGCTTTTTTTGATAAATATGGAATTGAGTCAGATTGGGTGAATTCCAAATTCATCGTTTACTCCCAATCACACTGATGATGAGGCCATCACCGCGATCCCTCCACTTTGCATCTCAGTTTTTCGCATCCCTGTCTATGTCACGATCATGTTGACCTCTTTGCACTCACAGCCTAGTCGATCTTGTAAACTTTTTGAACCCACCGACAATGTAGCAGTTGATATGCCTAAATTCAATTTAAAAGTAAAAGAATGTATTAATACCTATGATGCACGGACACGGACACGAGACACGAGACACGAGACACGACATTTTTTAAAAATATAGGACACGGGT